TATATATATATATGTTTAGTATTTTTTCCTCCTGCTGTACCGAAATCATACCGAACCTTGACATCAAAACCAAGGTACTTACCAAACCGTCATGTTTGTGTACTGTTACACCCCTATTATAAAGTGAAAATTGCCATTGTTTTTGTTCTTAAAATTTCTGCTTTCACAGAGGAAAGAAAGTAAAATATTTTTTAACAACATGTGTATGAGTATTCATTTTTGGGTAAAATGTCCCTTCAACCAGTTGAACAGGACTGGTTTCATTTCAAAAGTGGGTGCTTCCGTATCTCAACACTAATTTGCTCTACAAAAGCAACAACACAAATTATGTGAACATTTTCATGACCTCTTCCTCCTTTAGTGAGGAACCACTGAGGGTTAAAAAAGTATGATTAAGTCTAATTGGTATTGTTATTTTTCAAGGTATGTGATTGGATATTTTTATCTTTCTTATTGCAAGGAAAGTGGTAGAGTGATATATTCAAACAACAAAGGGCAAGTCAAGAGCCACAGCCAACACAGTACAGGGTTGGAAACTAACAGTATTATTGTAATGTATATTTCATGTCTCAGTTGGATATCACAAAATGCATAATCTGATACTATAAATAAAACAGATGAATGGATGGATAAATAGACAAATGATGCATGATTTACCCAATACTTACTAGGTGGCTCTTCCATGCTGTTCCTCCGTATCTTGCCTTGAGTGTAATGTTATTTATAATAACATACGCTGTAATTAAAAGATAATATGACTGCTTTTTATGCAGCGTAATTCAAAAAGTTTTCTTTCTGTCTTCTAGTCTTGTGTTTCTCTCTGGATATGCTCAGCCAAAGATGGTATTTCCTTGTGTTCTCTTTCTTGCTTCAGCTACTGTACACCCAACAGCACAATTTGCAAACATTCCTGTTGCCTTGCTCCTTTTTAAAACAAATATAACATGTTAAAAGGCTTTTACTGTTAAACTCACATTAACCATTATTCATTTTTAATTCCACAATCGAATTTTAAAATAAATCATTATCACTTAATATAATCACTAGATATACATTCATCTAAAATATTTCAAATTCACAGTTAACATTTGAGCAGTGTAAGGATTCACACTTTTTTTTTCTTTTCACAATGACAATAAATAACCTTACTTGTTGCGGTCGCTTCATGTTGTAAATTGTTGTCTGAATGTGAAATTCAGCTCAATGGCAAGTAGACAACATGCATGTATTTCAGTCTAAAAGGAAATAAAGAGACATTCCTCTTCACCTTATAAATACATACAGTGGAATGAACAAACATGCCCATACAGGTATGTCTACATTTTCTTCCTGTAAATGGAGGCTGGTCTTGCACGACAGTGTTGCTTTTTACTTGTAATTTTTTTTGTTTAAACTTGTAAATGTTGGAAAAATAAATTTGTGTCCCACTGTCACAGATTAGTGCCCAGCTAACAGGGAAAGTTCTCGTAACTTTGGCTAACGTTCTCTAAAGGTTCTCTCAAAGTTATAAAAAAACCATTCTTGCAGTAATGTTAGTAGAGTGTTTTTTTTAACGTTATCTGCCATTGATAAACATTCTAAAAACGTTAGCATAAAAACATTATAATTGCATTGTTAGTGGAACGTTCTAAAAGCGTTAGCAATAAAAACATTATCATTGAGTTGTTAGTGGAACGTTCTAAAAACGCTAGCATTAAAAACATGATTGCGTTGTTAATGGAACGTTCTAAAAACATTAGCATATAAAATGTTATAATTGCATTGTTAGTGGAATGTTTTAAAAACTTTAGCATAAAAACTTATCTTCTGGGGGATGTCTGAAGAAATGTAAGAAAATTTAAGGATGAGTATAATGAAAAATAACGTCTCGGTTACGTATGATAACCCTCGTTCCCTGAAGGAGGGAACGGAGACGTCACGTCGGTGACCGACGAATTGAGATATCGCTTAGCAGGCAGAAGTCTGCTGGGGAACACGGGCTCTAAGGCTATACCATGGATTATACACATACGAAACCCGCTTAGGTCTCAATATGGAACCCAGCCTTCAACGGTTCCCGCGGATTCATCGTGAAGGCCCGGCGCCGGATGTTCCGCCGCGTCCGCTCCCGAGGGTGATGGAGGATCTCAACGGGGTCTACTGTACGGACACTCTGGAGCAGTTTTTAGCAAGCCAACATTAACCGGGGCCTCTCGTGCCACTACCGAGAGGCGGATGTGGCGTGGGAGCGGGAGCGGACACGGGGGCCCGCCCTTGGCGACGAGCAGGCTGGGGGCGCTGCAGCCGGTGGACGGGTGGAGGCAGCAGCTGCCCGCTGGGGCAGGATGTGTCGGATCGCCTCAGTCTGCTTCTGGGCAGCCGAGAACTGCTGGGCAGAGCTCTCAACTGCGTCGCCGAAGAGGCCGGTCTGGGACACAGGGGAATTGAGGAACCAAACCTTGTCGGTGTCCCTCATGTCTGTCAGACACAGCCAGAGATGGTGCTCCTGGACCACAAGCATGGACATTGCACGACCCAGAGAACTCGCGGTGACCTTCGTCGCTCGGAGCGTGAGGTCAGTGGTGGTTTGGAGCTCTTTCAGAACTTCCGGATCGTGACCACCCTCGTGCAGGTCATTCAGTGCCTTAGCCTGATGCACCTGCAGTAACGCCATAGCGTGTAAGGCGGAAGCAGCTTCCCCGCAAGCCGAATAGGCGCTGCTGGTTAGACCAGACGAATGCCTACAGGCCCAGGAAGGAAGTACCGGGTCTCCCCGCCAGGAGGAGGCGGACTTAGGACACAATTGCATCGCTACCGCCCGCTCCACCGGGGGGGGCGCTGAGAACCAGCGCGAGCTACCCAGAGAAACCAATCATCCAGCCTCGAGGGCTCGGGACGCGGTGGAGGTTTCCACTCGAGCCCTACCCCCTCTGCGGCCCAGGAAAGCATAGCTGCCATCTCCGGATCCAATTCAGGCCTCGCCACCGTCGCGAAGGGCGGCAGTGGTGCCGAATCTTCATCGGACAGCTCTCCCTCCGATGCTGAGATCGACATCTAGTCGGGGGGAGGTCCAAGGATGTGCAAGAGGAGCGATGGTCCTCAGAGGGTTGGTTCCCTGCGGGGTTTGCCATCACTGTAACCCTCAAACTGCCCGCGCTACTGCTGGAAGTGGTTCTCGTCTGTCCGCCAGAACGAGCCCCAGATCGTGGCAACGGGACTCCGCCCCCTTGCGAGTAGATGCTCTTTTAGTGCTGAGGCGCACAGGGGAGATTGCAACACGACAGGGGTAGGGCAGCCTGAAGTGCGCAGCCCACTCGACACAGGAACGACCACCGCTGAAGCACCGTCTCGCCAACACAAGAAGCTTCCGAGAGCGTGCTGAGCACATAGTTCTCGAACAGACACAGTTGAGCAGAATGACGTTGTCGCTCGGCTCCGAAGCGAAAAGCTTGTATGCATTGCACCTGCTGCCTTATTATACTCCCGCTGTAATCAGCGGCAGCTGGATGCAATAATTGCATGCCAATGTGCATTGGCTCGTTTAGTTTACACTCGAAGTAGATTGGTCTATCGAAGCGATATCCCAATTATCCCAATCAATGTTACAGCTGTGACATTTCACATTTAAAATAAAAACAAAATTATATCAATCAGATAATTAAAATCTGTTCTAACTTGCAGTGTACTTAAAAATCACTATCAAAATATAAAGTGTCGCACTTTATTTAACATCAAAGTTTCTCTGACACCATACATGTCAGAGGTTTTTTTTCGCTTCTTTTTTTCAAAGAGTTTTTCTCAATCACTTTGGCTCATTTATCAGATCAGAAATTAAATTCTCAAAACTACTTGTTCAAACTCCACATCATTTACTCACTTGTGCACATCATAAAAGCAGTTTCTCATTCTTTTGAACAAGTTGCAAATGCTTAGTACATTTATGGCATTGATTAACAGAATCAGAATTACCTTTATTTGCCAGGTGTGTGCAAACACACAAGGAATTTGTTGTGGTTTTTTTAAAGGTGCTCCTGGTACATGCATACATACATACGTACACATCTGTCATGAGAACAGAAAAACATTTAAATAGCAAGACTTAACAATAAATAATAATGTGTATGATTCTGGAACAGTAGATTTAGATTTATGTAAAGATGTGTGCATTATTTACTCTATAGACGGCTGTATAAATAAAGAGACATGCATATGTATTTACATAATACTTGAGAAAGAGGCAATAATTAAAGATGTAGAATGAATTATGGAAATGAATTACAGAACACAGGTAATGATTCATGTGTAATCTGTTTAAGCTGGAGATGGCATGGGGGAAAAAGCTGTTTTTATGCCTAGATGTTCTAGTGCACAGAGATCTGTACCGTCTGCCTGAAGGGAGAAGTGCAAACAGATTGTGTCCGGGGTGAGAGGGGTCTTTGATGATGTTACCTGCCCGTTTCTTCACTCTGGAGTTGTACAAGTCCTGAAGACTGGGCAGGTGCACACCAATGATCCTTTCTGCTGTCCTAACAGCCCGTTGTAGTCTTCTATTTTCTGATTTGCTGCCTGACCCAAGCCAAACAGTTATAGAAGAGCACAGAACCGACTTAATAACAGCTGAGTAAAACTGTGTCATCTGTGCCAGTGGCAGGTTGATCTTTTTCAGTTGGCGAAGGAAGTACAACCTCTGCTGGGCTTTTTTCACAGTGGAGTCAATGTGAGTGTCCCACTTCAGGTCCTGTGAGATTGTGTTGCCCAGGAACCTGAATGACTCCACTGCAGCCACAGTGCTGTTAATGATGGTGAGTGGGGAGAGTGCAGGGGGATTCCTCCTGAAGTCCATGATCATCTCCACTGTTTTGAGCGTCTTCAGCTCCAGGTTGTTGTGACTGCACCAGACAGCCAGCTGCTCAACCTCTTGTTCGTATGCAGACTCGTCGCTGCCCTGGATGAGGCTGATGAGTGTGGTGTCATCTGCAAACTTCAGGAGTTTGACAGAGGAGCCTTTAGATGTGCAGTCATTTGTGTAGAGGGAGAATAGCAGTGGGGAGAGGACGCAGCCCTGAGGAGCTCCGGTGCTGATGGTGCAGGTGTTGGATGTGAGTTTTCAGGAGTTTGACAGAGGAGTCTTTAGATGTGCAGTCATTTGTGTAGAGGGAGAATAGCAGTGGGGAGAGGACGCAGCCCTGAGGAGCTCCGGTGCTGATGGTGCAGGTGTTGGATGTGAGTTTTCTCAGCCTCACAAGCTGCTGCCTGTCTGTCAGAAAGGTGGTGATCCACTGACAGATGGAGGTGGTACAGAGAGCTGTGTGTTTATTCTGAAGGGTGTCTGGGATGATGGTGTTGAAAGCGGAGCTGAAGTCCACAAACAAGATCTTTGCCTAAGTCCCTGGTTTGTCCAGATGTTGGAGGATGTAGTGCAGTCCCATGTTGACTGCATCATCCACAGACCTGTTTGCTCGGTAAACAAACTGCAGGGGGTCCAGCAAGGGTCCAGTAATGTCCTTCAAGTAGGCCAACACCAGTCGCTCAAATGGTTTTATGACAACAGATGTTAAAGCAACAGGTCTGTAGTCATTAAGTCCTGTGATTTTTGGTTTCTTGGGTACAGGGATGATGGTGGAGCGTTTGAAGCAGGAGGGGACTTCACACAGCTCCAGGGATCTGTTGAAGATCAATGTGAAGATGGATGATAGCTGGATAGCAAAGGCTTTGAGGCAGGCTGGAGAGACACCATCCAGGCCTTTGGCTTTCCTTATCTTCTGTTTCCTGAAGACTTTGCGTACATCCTCTTCACAGATCTTGAGTACAGGCTGAGAAACAGTAGGGGGGAGAGAGGGGGAGGGTGTTGATGGCTGTGCTGTGAGACGGTCAGAGTGGGTGTGGGGTGTCAGACCAGTCTTTTGCTTTTCAAACCTGCAATAAAACTTGTTCAGGTCTTCAGCCAGTTGTTGATTGGCCTCAGTGCTGGGCAATGGGGTCTTGTAGCTGGTGATGGCTTTCAGGCCTTTCCACACTGATGTAGAGTCATTACTTGAAAGCTGTTTTTTTTAGCTTTTCAGAGTAGTTTAACTTAGCCACTCTTATCTCCCTATTCAGTGTCTATTTGGCCTGTTTGTACAAGTCTTTGTCCCCACTCCTGTAGGCATCCTCTTTGGCCTGGCGAAGCTGTTTGAGTTTTGCACTGAACCAAGGTTTGTCGTTGTTAAATGTTAATTAAGTCCTGGTGGGAACACACATGTTCTCACAGAAACTGATGTAGGATGTCA